CAATCCTCGTCCTTATAACAAGAACATAGGACTCACGTCTTAATCGCTATTCACAACTTTTAGCTATAAGAGTACTCTAGTACCTCAAAATCAGCGTAGATGAAGCATGTGGACTAGCTGTTCTTTCGCCGGAGAAGACATCGTTAAAATCAACCTTTTCGCTATTCTCTGCTACTTTGGTTCCTGTGCTGTGCCAAGGTACGTCTGGATTATCTGATTTAGCTCACACGGCTTATTTCCATTTAGTATGATCGGTTAGAAGGCTGAGACATATGCGAAGGCGCAATCTACTCAAATAATGCGACTGGGCGGATGAGAAAACCGATGGGCCATTTGGATTCGCTAAAGAAGAAAAAAACATTAAATAGGTGGAGGGGGCGATGATCGGTAGTATGTTACGCACAGAAAAAGTCTGGAAGTTTACTCTGATCCCACGGAGTGGAAGTACCACAAAGTCCATGAGTGGCTGCCACCAGATTTTGTACCTTCGAGTGCCGCCAACGCCACCCCCCCCCTCCCTCATGTTCAACATTTGTTATGTGAGAACAAGGGATGAACAAGCGGAGCAATCGGCGATCGAAAATCAATTTCCTATCGGATGCGTGCGTTGATTGCTTATTGGCTACATAAGCGAAACCGCTATGAAATAAATGCAAACATAAAACAATATAAAAATCGAAGAAACTAGTTCGTTTTATGAATAACTGTTCAATAATCCCTCTCTAACGCCTCCGCGGTCGCAAATTTGGGCCCGCATAAAAATAATACGTGAAGATAGGGATATAATTGTAAAAGAGACATGAATAACGGGGCGATAAGAACCACTTGTCATTCTCCTTCGACTACCTACTCCCTCTCTGGTCCCTATTTATGACTTGAGTTTGGCCCTTTTGATCTCTAAGCATATCTTCCCATAATTACTACTGATACGTTGCCTGATCTTGTTTTTAATCTACCCTCCATTACGTTATTGTGCTTGCCCGATTATGATTAATCAAAAGGGTTCATTGACCTAACACGCTTTCCTGCAGAGTAGAAAGCATTTAAAGAATATTACAATAAGAAAAACAATAAAAATAAAAAGACCAACAAACAATGTTTGAAGCGATAGTAGTTAATAGGTAACGCGATTAACCGTAATATAGCAATCAAATAATCTACATAAGTCTATATCTAATTTTTACCTATATCTATCTTTATCTATATCGGTTCTAGATATACTCTACATATAATCTCTATAAAACAATAGGGAACTGACGTCCAATAGGAAAGCGATTTTCGCTCGCCTATTGCTCCGCCTGTTCATCCGATTTTTGGAGAGGAATCACATGTCATACACAGTCTATTTGTCAATGACTTATAGTAAAAACGGAAACAAATCTGGAGGTTGATGCAGAGAATTTAAGTGAAAATGCAACGGAAGTTTACGCAATGTTCCCTCTTGCACTAACCCCAACCTTAACCGTACAGTTATCATAACCCAAAGCCTGCCTCTAGCCTTCACCCTAACGCTAACCCTAATTTCTCCGGAATTTTGCGCAAACCAACTTGCATTACGGGCGGTTCCTGGTTCCCTGGTTATCTGTCACAGAAACTTCTAGCGTCCATTGCATATTCGAATTTAGGCAGCTCATTTAAGACAAGGAATTGATGATTGTGTAATCCGACTGCTTGTCTTGCAAGTTACGCGTCCGTACTGTGCCAATCCCGACGTGACCTTGCGACTAGACCAACCAGGTGCCAAGAAATTCGACGAATCAAAACCTACTACCACAAGGTTATACAAAATTGCTTGATCGATATTCGTGCGCCCTTTACACGTCAGCAGGCATGATGACTGAATGGGAGGCTTTTGACGCCAACTCTTCAAACCTCACGGAGGATAGTAATGACCTGGTCCAGCAGTCGGATGAAAACGATCTGACCGATGACGTTGGGGCATCACAGGCGGAGGATGCTTCCGCCGAACAGTACGATATTGTTCCCCCAGAAATACGTGAAGACGATTCTAGCATTGAACCCGAAGAGTTTCAAGCCGCAAGAAAGAGCACACTATCACAAAGGTTTTCTTCTGCTGCTCGCACGTCAACCATGATAGATGATCAAGCAACGAGGCGTTCTAGTCAGAAGGAGAGCCGTAAAAGCGAGAGATATGCACTTGAAGTGATTGAGGAGGAGGAGGAGGATGACGATAAGCCAGTTGCGAGGCGTAGCAGTAAGCGAAGGAGTATCTCCTCCGGGGCAAATCAAACAGAAGGCTTGGCGGAAGCTCCAAATGACGAATTCATGGAGACCTTGCAGGAAGTAAGAAATAGTGTGACTCTTCTTGGTGATTTACTGATGCCAACGGACGAGAACGCAGATCGAAATTTGATCAGAGAGTCTGCCAGCCCGGAGGAAGTACCGGAAACCAGTCCATTAAGGGAGTCTAAGAGTTCCCGAGCTGCGTCCATCAAGGGTTCGGGAAGGGAGTCTAGCAGTTTGCATCCAGAGTTAGTCGATGGTTCTAGGAGGGATTCTGCCAGGTTGCGCTTCGACTCGATCAACAGTTCGAGGAGAGATTCTAACAGTTTGCATCCAGAGTCCGTCGATGATTCTAGAAGAGATTCCACAAGGTTGCGCGCTGACTCGATCAACAGTTCGAGGAGAGGTTCTAACAGTTTGCATCCAGAATCCGTCGATGATTCTAGGAGAGATTCCGCCCGGTTGCGCGCTGACTCGATCAACAATTTGAGGAGGGATTCTAACAGTTTGCATCCAGAATCCGTCGATGATTCTAGGAGAGATTCCACAAGATTGCGCGGAGACTCGATCAACAGCTCGAGGAGGGAGTCTATCGGTTTGGGTGTGGACTCCATAAACGATTTCAGGAGGGATTCTGGTGAATTGCATGCGGACTCCATCAGGAAGGCTTCAAGTGTGCATTCAGCGTCCGTCAAAAGTTCAACCGGGCGGCCTGCCGGGATGCATGCAGACTCCGTGTTCGATCAAGTCAGGAAGCATAAAAGTGTGCATTCAGCGTCCGTCAAAAGTTCAACCGGGCGGCCTGTCGGCATGCATGCAGACTCCGTGTTTGATCAGATCAGGAAGCCTAAAAGTGTACATTCAGCTTCTGTCAACGCTTCTGTGGAGGAGCCTGATGATTTGCCTGAAGTCGCGGCTAATGGTTCACCGAGGGAGTCCATCGGTTTGGGTGTGGACTCAATAAACGATTTCAGAAGGGATTCTGGTGAATTGCATGCGGACTTCATCAGGAAGGCTTCGAGTGTGCATTCAGCGTCTGTCAAAAGTTCAACTGGGCGGCCTGCCGGCATGCATGCAGACTCCGTGTTTGATCAGGTCAGGAAGCCTAAAAGTGTGCATTCAACGTCCGTCAAAAGTTCAACCGGGCGGCCTGTCGGCATGCATGCAGACTCCGTGTTTGATCAGATCAGATCAGCTTCTGTCAACGCTTCTGTCGAGGGGCCTGACGATTTGCCTGAAGTTAATGGTTCACCGAGGGAGTTCACTAGTTTGCATGCAAATTCTGCCAACATTTCGATGAGGGAGTCTACTAATTTGCATGTACCATCGGTAAATAGTTCATTCATAGAACCCGCAACCTCCTTTAATGAGTCGATCAGAGAGCCGACAAGCATGTATGCAGCGTCGGCCCACAGTTCGATCAGGGAACCGACAAGTATGTATGGAGTATCGGCCCAGGGTTCGATCAGGGAACCAACAAGCATGTATGCAGCGTCGGCTCAGGGTTCGATCAGGGAACCGACAAGTATGCATGCAGCATCGGCCCAGGGTTCGATCAGGGAACCGACAAGTATGCATGCAGCATCGGTCAATGGTTCGATCAGGGAACCGACAAGTATGCATGCAGCGTCGGCCCAGGGTTCGATCAGAGAACCAACAAGTATGTATGCAGCATCGGCCAATGGTTCGATCAGGGAACCGACAAGTATGCATGCAGCATCGGTCAAAGGTTCTATCAGGGAGTCAAATAGTTTGCATGCACCATCGATCCACGGTTCAGTCAGGGAACCGACAAGTTCTTATGCAGCGTCCGTCGCCGATCCAGAGAGAGAACTATCCAATTTGTATGTACCCTCGCTTTACGGTTCAGTCAGAGAACCGACTAATTCTTATGCAGCATCATTCGTCGATCCGGACAGAGAGCCGAACAGTTTGTATGGAGCCCCGGCCAATAGCTCAATCAGGTGGACCACCAAGCTACATCCAACGTCAATCAACAGCCAAGTTAGAGATCCCAGTGGCGTGTTCTTGGAACCGGTCAACGGTTCGATCAGAAGGCTCACTAGTTCCATCCTTTCGGTATCGCATGCAGATTCTGTAGGCGAGGATGCTTTC